CTGTTTTGTTTTTACTACGTATGTTATTTTATTGTAATGTCTCGTTTTAACTATGTATGCTGTTTTTATTGTACGGTTTTGTTTTAACTATGAATTTTGTAGCACTTTGAGATTTTTTTTTAAATGTAAAGTGCAATACAAATAAAATGTATTATTATTATTATTATTATCTACCTGCTGCAGCGGGCACTCACCCACCTGGAGACCAGTGGGAGCGCAGTGAGAGTCAGTCATGTTCTTTGACTTTTACAGCACTCTTAACACCATCAGAGCAGAGCGGGAAGCTGGAGGATGCTGGTGTTGACAGACAGCTTGATGCCTGGACCATCAACTACCTCACCGAACGCCGTCAGTATGTACGGCTGCACAGCTGTCAGTCAGAGGTAGAAGTCTGTATGCTGATGAAGATTCTCAGTCATTCAGGTCATAGTCATTCCGTAAAAGTTTAAAAACAATCCTCTGGACTTGGTTTCCAAGATTTGAAGACATTTCGCTTCCCCTCCAGGAGGCTTTCTCAATTCAAATGTCTTATACAGGCTAACAATGGAACCAAACAACCCGCTTCTCGGTTATAATTTGTTGATGTCCAAGCAATACAAGGCCATGTCTATATAAAGCCTCAACTCACTGCGGATCCAGACATTTGAATTGAGAAAGCCTCCTGGAGGGGAAGTGAAACGTCTTCAAACCTTGGAAACAAAGTCGAGTGGATTGTTTTTAAACTTCTACGGAATAGCAGTCTGTAGTACCGGCGCCCCCCAGGGCACTGTTCTGTCCCTGTTTTTCTTCACCCTTTACACCTCTGACTTCACCTACAACATGGACAGCTGACATCTCCAGTTATCAGATGACTCTGCCTTTGTAGGCGATGTTTCTGAGGTGAACGACCTGGAGTATCGATCGGTTATCATGAACTTTGTGGACTGGTGTGAGAAGAACCACCTGTGTCTTAAAACACCAGGAGAAGACCCGCACCTCACTCCCCTGTGAACATCCAGGGGCAGGACATAGAAATGGTGGATAGTTTCAAAAACCTGGATGTACATGTCAATAACAAACTGGACCAGACTCAAAACACCCTGTATAAGAAGGGATAGAGCCGCCTCCACCTCCTGAGCAGGCTGAGGTCCTTTGGAGTGAGCAGGCCCCTGCTTAAAACCTTCTATGAGTCTCTGGGGGTATCAGCCCTCCTCTATGCTGGTGTCTGCTGGGCCTCTGGCAGCGCAGAGCGGGACGGAAAGAGACTGAATAAACTGGTGAGAAAGGCCATTTCTGTCCCAGGCTGCACTCTGGAATCAGTGGAGGAAGTGGCTAAGAGGAGGGTGCTGTCCAAGCTTACATCCATCATGGACAACACCTTCTATCCTCTGCACCAGACTGTAGAGAAGCTGAGCAACTCCTTTAGTGAAAGACTTTTACACCATACCTAATGCAATACCTATATATATAAATATCTATCATATAAATACCGATGTAAACACCCTGTGCAATAACCCTGTATAATGATCCTATAATAGAAAAACAAAAAAACGAACAAAAAATGTCATATGTGGATGCACTGTATATACTGTATATACTGTATATATCCTATGCAACTTTTTTTCCCTTTTGCACCTTCTTCTTCTCTTTTTGACTATTTGAGTACATTTGTCCACTACGAGATCAATAAAGACAATCAATCAATACAAAGGCAATACAACCAAATACATATAAAATGTCTATCAAGCTGAGGCTTTAAAGAACATGTTATAAATGTCTTTAAGAAGTCTTTCTTATTATGTTTTGCAAATAAAATATTTTCTGTAATCCTAATTAACCTAAAGCGCAAAGATGAGTCTTTTTATGCTGTGTTTTCCAATATTTACCTTTATAGACACACTTCATGCGTAGCCAAGGTAATCCATAGTGTTTTCAAACATTAATTAAGAAGGTTTTTAGCTGCTTTGTAAACGAACACAAAAGAGTTTTAGTTTACTTACAACAGTAGTGTCATGTTTTTCTTCACACTCATCACAGTACAGCTGGTCATCTCCATTAAACTCTGTATCCTTTAAGAACTCCTCGATGGCGTCCTCCTGAAAATGCATTTGTGTTACTCAAAATGCCCTGACAGACAGTTTCCACCTGTAGATGTCAGATACAATTGCTTAAGTAAATCTAGAAAGTAAACATCCAAGAAATAACTATGATTAAACAAGTACTCGGTATAATGCATAATTGAGTACTGAGTAACTCTTAGGTTGTAACATCTGATTTAATGCCTAAAATGATGCAATCAGACAGAGAATTATGAGCAAATTCTGGTCTTTGGATTGAGTTAAAAAAATAGATAAAAACTTGATTAGAATATAACATATTTATGAAGAAAAAACACTTTTCACAATCTACTTGTTCAATTTAAACTTACAAGACTGGTAAGTTATGAATATGTGTCAAGAATAGATAAATAACTTCAACATCTGCTGTTAACCTTTAATTCACCTGATCTCCAAATAGCTTAAGTTAATCATGCGGGTAGAGAAACCAGAAAATGACTCACAAGAATATTACTTCAGAAAAATTAAAAAGTAATGTAAATTACAACTACTTCAAAATAGAGTTTTTTCCCCCTAAAATTCACAAAAGTAAATGTAACTAGTTACTACCTACCTCTGGTCTCTACTAAGAAATATATGCATCATAAATGATTGATAGCTCCAGATCACATTTGGTTTGGCCTATAAAATGGTTTCCAGTTTGCAGATTGTTTCTCACCACACTGTAGTTTTAATCACTAGAATCCATCAGTGGAAGAGAAAGATA